TTATTACTTCATCAAAGTTTAAATAATATCCACTAGAATGAGAATGTTCAGAAAGAGCTGTTTTTTCCCCATCATCATTACGTTTACATGTATTTTTGTTTTCATCTAATCTTTTTCTTTTTATATTATAAAAGGAGCTCATAAAAAAATTTCAGCCAAATCGGAGATCATGAGATCATTTTTTGCCAAAATCCGTTTATCCGTTTACGGTTTGTAAAGAATGACCCATATAAGTTAAGCATGATTCTTAATCATCGTCAACACTCGATTGCCATATCAGAGGCTTCATTACGTGCATCGCTGGTGACTGATTCTATATGACGGTTGCCAAACCCTGTACAGTGTACATAACTCAAACTTAAAGCCTTGAGGATAAGATTAATGTACTATTCATTTGCGAAAATATTCTTTAAAAACTACACAAGAATATTCTGATTTACAAACAAATACACCGAATTATTGAAATTGCCTTCAAGCATTCATACTAATGAAAATGTAATGTCTAACATTATACAATATACCGTTATTGCTTAAGTTCTTGAAAGTTCTGGACGCCATATCAAGAAACGACAGACTGTTTTGTGGTGCTTTGATATTCCTCCTAGGCGAATTCAGACAAACATTACGAGTTGTGCCCCAGTTAAAATGTGCAGTCAAAATAAGTGTATGTTTAAAATTAACTTTAAAATGATACAGAGTGTAGAAATTTAAATTGACCACAAATAAGAGAGTGCAAATTTCAAATGACGTTCCTACGGGACTCAACGCATATCCACTCTTCTAGGCAGGCACTGAAATATCCAAATAATTTTTGATATCACACTCAATCCAAAAAACAGAAAAAGATCATTCAAAAGATCATTGATTATATTTGTTACCAAATATGCTGATGTCGATACAGTATTTAATAAAATTCATGATATGCTGGATAGTAAAATGATTTCATTTAACTCCATAGATACCGTAATCGACGAAAATGAAGTTTGAATTTTTACACCGAGTTCTTGAATTCGTTGGATGTACCAGAACTATCGCACCTTATTTTGCGTCTTAATAATTGTATCACCAATCATTATATTGTGATATTGACTACGTAGTCAAGACACACAAACATTCTGTAATACAACCAAATTAGTATTCAAGAAGGTGACCAGCAATATCATCAAGGTAACGGTAACCAAAAACAAATTTAAAGGAGAATATGTTAAATTTACATATATATATATATATATATATATATATACATGAAGCACGCTTAAGTATTGCAAAGCCGCAATATTTATTTTAGAAAACGTAGAGACTTAAAAATAGGCGAAACTAAATATACAATCTTTACATTATCTAAATCAATGTTTTTATATTTCATTTTTCTCTATTGCACCGTTTTGCACCCCGACATCAAACTAGTCCGAAGCTCAAAATCGAACGTGGGCTCAAATCATACAATGTTGTAAAGTACACACATTATTACAGAAGTATAACTTTTAAATATGGGTATAGGTATAGTAAGAATAGAGCTTTTATACACCCCCGTAAGATAGATCGTCTACTAATGTATCATCGAAATTTTTTTATATTTATATGAAAAGAAGCATAAACATTGCTTTTAAAATTTGCATTTGATTAAGTAATGTATAGGCGTATATAATTTTTATATATGCATCAATATAAACAAAATGTGATCATTTGTATTGAATGAAAATTTTGTAGATTGTTATAAATTGTATTGATTTCAACCCATTTGCCGTTGTTCATTCTCTCATATTCCTTCTACCTGATTTACCCCAAAAAAAAGACACATTAATAGTTTTTAACAATTATATTATTAACAACCATCGCTACAAGTCCATAAATACCAGTAGATAAAAACAAATTTACCTGCAATCATGCACTCATCAAAAATTCATTACGTATTGGATATATAAAACAGTCTCATGAGCACCTTTCACTTGGCGATCTTTTGTAATAGCCAACCATCCATAGATGGACATTTATTAATTGTCTTACTTTCAAATCCATTCGCGACAATATATTCTCAATTATTTCATCTACCAGGTTAGTAAACAATGTTACTATTAAAAACATAAATTTCATACACTAATGTATAACAGCTATACATTACAAATATATACAAATATAGTTCTTTGGTAAAATGTTTTCAATAGTACAATCGATAGTTTCCACTTGTACAACAAATTACTGATTTAACTTTGATCAATATACCATATGTCTAGAACAAAAAAAATAGACACATGAAAAAGAAACAAAGCATTCGTAAATAAATAAAATATAATATAGAAAGAAGATAATAGATAATAAAAAACAATTTTAATTAAAACAAAGTGATGATAATTGGGATAATAAAATATAATTATGTATCTTAAATCCACCAATCGGTTACCTTAAGCAATTTCATATAAATATATAATGTGGTCAGTAATGAACCTCTGTCTAATGAAGAGTTTTTCTTTTCAAATATTCAATTAACTACCTGTAATGACAAATAATTGATATAAAACGAAAAACTCCTTCCATAAGCAAGTCTACTGAATAAGTTTTTTTCTATTGTAATACCTAGTTACACTCCATGAAGTCTAAATACTACAAACTAATTAAAAAACAACTTATGTTTTAAAATTACTTAAATACCATTTATTGATGTGTATAACAATTATTTTTAAAAATATATTCTTAATTTCATATACTTCAACAACTTTTAAAAAGAAATGTTATCGATATTTAAAATATTATTCATAATTTCTCCACTTTTAAATAAACTCCCTTTTCAGCGCCACGAAATATTTTATTCTTTATAAATTGTATTGGTATCTGTGTCCTTTTTGTGGGAGAAAATCGAAAATTTTTAAGTAATGAAGATAATCCAATCAGGACCTGAAATTCAGCAAATCTGGAACCAATGCATGCTCGAGGTCCTCTGCCAAACCCCAACCACGCCATTGGATGACGATTTTCGACTTCTGTCTTTGTAAATCGTTCTGGATCAAATTGTTCAGGATTTGGATATATATCTGGATCATAGTGTATGGCATCCAATGGTATAATCACAGTAGTTCCTTTTTCAATAACATAATTTGTATTAGATACAATATAGTCTTCTGCGGTTTTGCGGACAAGACCCGGAACTACTGAATACATACGAATAGTTTCTAATAGCAAACAGAAAAAAATTGTCTTATGATATTTTGTTTATTACATCTGTCACACCTAACAACTCACCATACATAACTTGAAGTAGATATTTCATTTCCTTTACTGCTTCATAGGTTGGCTTTCCATCATGCTGAGCAATGATTTCATTTATTTCTCTTCTGGCCTTCTCCTGTATGTTTTGATTTAATGCCAATTCATATAAGCAAAAACTAAGTACACTAGCACTTGTTTCAAAACCTCCTACAAAGAATACAAATGCTTGTGCAGTTATTTCATCCATTGTTAAATTATCTGCTGTATTTAGTTTTCTTAACTCCATGAGAATGTTAAGATAATCTTTCCGTTGTTCACCAGTTCGATCTCGATAATCCACAGCTTCACGAACAACTCGAAAAAAGAATTGAGAAACTTCTTCAATAATAATTTTAAATCCTAGTTTTCGAAACAAATTTGGAAATAAATTCATTAATGACACAATAGGCATACTGTACCTATAATAGCAAAGTTTTTCACCAATTTCTCTAAATTCGCAATTTGGTTCCTTTAAACTGTTACATTTTAAACCGAATGCAACACTTCCAATAACATCGGTTGTGTACCGTACCATAAGATTATCACAATGAACCCCATCATCCATATTTGTTGAACTTAACGTTTCTTCCAAAACATTGACTAACTCATCAGCGATGTTGACTACTGTAGTGAGCATGAATTTAATTTTTCCAGATGTAAAAGCTGGAGTTAACTTCCCCCGCATTGTTTTCCAATGGTTGCCATCTAGCTGAAGTAAATGTGCAGAAATTGGATCATCTTTTTTATTATAATAATATCCTCGATCAGTGAAATTTCCAAAATCCTTAACGCATATGTCTTGAATTAAATCGAGATCTAATAACATCACCGCTTTTCGCATATACAAATAGAATCCAACGAATCTTCCACTTCCTTTATATTTCATATAATATTCGCGAATAATTTGATATAATGTTTTGGATCACGTAAACTCCTTGACATTGCCATAAAATAGTTCTGGTTTGTCATGCAATATGCCACGTTTACTAAAATAGGAGTTGTTTCTCTTCAATGCCAAGTATATGAGCAGGAAACTTCCGAAAATAAAGTATGCAAGGATTCTTATTAACTCCATGTTGACAGTACTATTTCACGCAGATTGCGGGATTGACTGCAAATCAGCAATCCAATAGACTTATATTGTTTCGTATTTTCTTAGTTTTTAAAGAAAAATTACTTGTCGATAATTAAACAAGTTTTTTATGTTGCGCAATTATGTGATTAAGTTCTTATAATAATTGTTAGACTCAAAGTACATATACCATAATTTGAATGTATAATAATATGATAATGATAAAATTTACATATGATTACAAGTATTAGACGAGTCTTCCGGTGTAGGTTTCTCTGTTATATGTAAAATTTTTATAATCTAACAGATACCATTTTTATAGAACTTATATATTTATATAAAATAGTTTTTACACATATATGCAATCGTAACCCGTTGCGATGTACTGATTGACACCATGATTTAGTTATATGTTAGTTTTATCTATTACCATGTTCATAGATATGTTTCGTTGTGATGGGTTGCGCTGATGTGACGAAAAAGTCAGAAGTGCTTATTTAGAGAAATAAATTCTAAATTCTAAATTAAAGATTTTGAAAATTAACAAAATAATTTGTATTCGGTATATATGTAAACCTGGAAAAGTGACGAAACTGTTGCAACTTATCCTACCATTTTAGCTGCTAACTATGTTTGCATGTTCTGTACAGCTGTGTACAGCTCATAGACAAAATAAATGCAATGCAATAAAATTTGAACCTGCCAGATACTATACTGATTTTAAATCCATATCAAATCGTCCAACAAACCTACAAGAGTTGTGAGAAAAATATAAAAATACAACGAGTGAGGGGCATTCAATTTTAAACTCAATTGCTCGAAATTGGCAATGGGATAATGAATATCAATTCTTCAAGTCAAGGACTGAAATTTCGAAATAAACAGGCACAACCCAAAATCATTTCAATTGGTAATATTTTCCATAAGACCATTGATTGTATTTGTTCCCAATTTGTAGATGTCGACACAATCAATAATAAAAATTAGGTCGTACTGTATAGTGAAATGAAGGCGACGGTACTGCCATCGACCTAGGGTGCTCTATTCTAATCCATCATTACAACTAAAACTGTATGAATTCAAGTTCTCACAAGAAGAATGGTCTTAGAACGTAACGATAATACGATGGCAACTATACGCAATGCTTAAAGAACACAATTTGGACAATGAAACGTATGTACGTTACACAAGCTGGAAAAGTTTCTCAACGCTTAGCTGAATGCGAGATACTCAAAACAATCTCCTAGGTGTTAGTGAACTAAGATAAAATGGCAATGGTGAAGTCTCTAACAACAAAAGTTATAAGTTCTTGTGCTTTGGTTTGCCTAGCGAAAATGACCTCCATATGAAAGATGTTGGCATTTATCTAAACAAAACTACAAAAGAATCCCTTATGTCATGAAAGATTATGTATGTCAGAAAGAATTATAATAGCCCGCCTAAAAGCGAAATATGGAAATGTGACCGTCGTTCAATACTACACCCAACAGAGAAGCGGACTATGAAGATAAAGAAAAATTTTGTAGTCTTCTAGAAAGTCCACTTCAGGATATAGCAGAACAACAGCCAATTTATAAACAAATCTTTGAAAAAAAATATGGCTGGTTGGACCACACTCTACGCAAATCTATCAACGAAATCGCACTTGCCTCAGTAGAATAGTATCGACAAAGAAAATCGAGGTCGAACAAAGACTACATGGAGAAGGAAAACCAATTCAAGCAAATCTTTCAGTGAACTAAGAGGAATAGTTAGAAATCTTTTGTAATTAAACTTTTTGAATATGTCAATAATAATGATATTAATTTTTATAAAACCTACATATTTATATAAAATCGTTTAAACACATATATGCAATCGTAACCCGTATTGTTGAACTGATTGACACCATGGTTTTGTTATATGTTAGTTTTGTCTATGGCCATGTTAATGGATATTGTTCTGATTTCAAAATCAACAAAATAACAACATAATTTTTATTTAACATATTCTAGATAAACTAGATAAAACTATTGTAACTTAAGCAGGAAGCTACCGAAAATAAAATATGCATTCTTATGATCTCCATGTTGGCTTCACTGTTTAACGCGGATTGTGGGATTAATTGCAATAAATTTATATTATTTCGTATTTTAATGGTTTTTAAAGAAAAATTACTTGTCAATAAATAAAAAATTTATTATGTTATCCATTATGATATCTATGCAATTAAGTGTTTATAATAATTCCTAGGTTCACTCAACATTTTAATTACAACTGATGCTACCTGTGGATGTAATAATTAAATAGTATTATGTTAAAAACGCTAGAGATTATTGGTTGTAGAAATCTTTAAAGTTTTAAAGCAATTGGTAATAATATATTATTATTTACTATTTTGTTTATGTTGAAGCTATTTGAGCCAGTGCAATTAACCACTTTTACTCTTTACGCCTTGACTGGTTTATTGTTTATCACTTCATCAGACTAAGCAATAATTGACCTGAGATCTGCATACTTCCCCGAGGAGCCTGTAACCATTCTGAAATTTGATAACGCGGTGTTAGTAAATCTGTCAGTTTTCGCAAATAATTTCAGGGCTCCATCCTTTATATATTTACTATTATTAGCATAAATAATATAATATTAAAACTAAATTGTATTGGAATATATCTGAACTGTATAAGTTTTTTATCAGAAAAACTTTTAAATTAAACAAAAAATTTTGTATAAAATTACAAAAATTATTAAGTATCGAGTATTTAATTCATTTATAAATTTATCTGAAATTCATTATTTCTTTTGTAGCACTACAAATTATTATTTTGGCTAAAAATGATATATTTGGAACATAATAATTATTTCAATAAAAATTATTGTATACTTAATTTTGAAAAAATAGTATATATAAATGTATGGGATATGATATGTTAAAGCTAAAAGTATATCTTTATAAACAATAAAATATTATCCTGACGCCTGAGGCCTGAGCTTAGTTGGTTGGTTGGTTGATTGCAGTGGCAGGCCATTAGATACCTTTCATCTACCTAAATTAACAATTTTTTGCCGTTTATAGAATAGTAGAGACTAAATCCATCCCGCCGAATTTAGGTAATTTAATAGGTCTTTCGTCATCACTGATGAACAGTGTTCTGATAAACTATCAAAAAAGTATATTGAGATATCGTATTTTGCTTCGAAATTTTTCCTTTTCCATTCATTTCTAGAAGGGAGTATTGTCTGAAAATTTCTTTCAAAGTCTATGCACGGATTCAGTTAGTCCGATGTCATCCTATACAGACAGTTTGAAACTGTACAGAGAATCCAAGGCTTACTCTTGGCTATATTACTAATTAACTGGCAAGTAATAGAGTTTTCAAGTTTAAATTTAAATTCATTTAATGTACTTTAATATCAATGGTATCGAATTGATATATTATCCATTGATATACCCTACTCATCGAGAAGAAATATATATGCCTTAAATTATATTCTGAAGTCATTAAAAATAATAATAAATATTTTCTTCACCATACATATAAATAACAAGCTAGTACGATATCTAATTAAGATATAAAAAAAGACAAAAAGCATTCAAGATAGTCTACTAATGCGGTTTTGTCGTGCATTTAAATACCGCATTTTAATTTAAAAAAATTAATTATGCCATAAAATTAATTATGTTTGTTTTTATTTAATCAATTTTTATATATTTCCTTAATTATTTTTATTACATATTATATGTATCTTGGAAGTTCTGCCTTTTAGATATGAGTATAATTTATATATATGGATATACTATATTGACTTTTACTTTAAATGATTAATAACCATAAAAATTATGCAAATCTCAAAAACAGTTTTATTTTTATAGAAGTCTATCTCATCTGAAATTATTTCGAATTCATGGAATACTTTCAGATACTTCTCTGCTACACTAATCCACTTGATGAGAAAAACCAAAATGCTAATTGTTTAATTACTTTAAATTAAGCGTAGCTTGAATAACTTTGAATTATTAAACAAACCTAACCACAATGAGTTATCAAGTCAATATGCACTTCACTCAACAATAAATCATCGTCCAAGCACTGGCAGATAAACGGTCGGTAATTAAAACATTAAATGATGAGTACATTTCTGGAAGCGCTTGAGCTTCTGATAAAAATAATCTTTGGTTGGAAGCTAAAATTAAATTACTCATGTACTTTTTTAGTAGAAACGTGTTTAAATTAATTTACAACTATGCAAAATGTTTATGGAATATGAACGAAAAAGATATATATAAATATGTAACATATATAGCGCAACTATAAATTTTTAAACATTTTGTATAAACAAAAGCAACAGTTCTACTTCCACAGAGAAGTACTTGAGCGAGTTGCCCTATAAAACAATGCGTAATACCCTTTTCAAAAATAACCCGAAATAAAAATCAAAAATAGATAATAAACAACTGCTGACCAGTTGACATTTAACAATGTATATAATACACTTGACCATCGACACCTTACGGTTGGCCTCCAACGGTTTCTCATCCGATTAAAAAAAAATCTATTGGGCAGCAGTTTTTCTCCATTGAAAATATCTTTTGTTCTGTGGAAGTGTTGGGAATTTGCGTTGACAACTTTGATTGTTCTGTATTCAATTTAAAAATAAAAACAATAATGTCAGCATGTAAATGACTTCAAAAGCCCATCAAAATGTTATTGTTTTTTTTAACAGATTTTTTTTTTTCATCTTTCCAATTGGTCAGATCTAGGTGGTAATATATTAATGTTTAAATAAATTTAAAAACGTTTCAAATTAGATAATTTACTGAAAGTCCCATACATACGATTTGATATGATAATTATTACAATTTTAATGAAAATAAACAATTGACGTCACAATGTATTTCAAATTGGAATATTAGCATAATTTATATATTAAAGTTGTGGAATCTTATAATAAAAGATTTTTTTAATTTTTTGTTTTTAATAACATGTAAATTAGATTGATAACTATCGAACAGAGTGTATACGTTCAATTGCGTTCATAGGTTTTTCCCAATTAAAGTGCATAC